CCAACATGGCACAACTTGGGCACGTTTGGACGCAAGTTCCACTTAGCATGCGCAAGTTGGTCCTGTGTGGGGACATCTGGCGCCGAAGTTGGGCCCAAGAAAAGCCAAATGTGGGCAACGTGGCCTCGTACGAACACCATCAAAGCCAGAAAACGTTGGAAATGCCCAACTGGGCCCAGCTGGCCCAAACTTGGGCCCAAGTTGCGCTGAGCCCAAGTGGTCATGTTGGGCTGGAGTTGGGCCCGAGCGGTCCAAATCGATTCCAAATTGAAGGCATATATACTTCACCATGGTCATCTTCCAGAATCTGGTGGAACCTGAGAGATTCGTTCATGAGCAATCTGCAACACCATTTGCTTCCATTTTATGTATATATACAATTATGTACATACAAACATAATATATATATACATAGATTTCCATTTATCCTTTCCATTTTGCTGGTTAAATATATGGGTTTGTTTGAAAATATGCCCGAAATTTTCATGGTTCATCATCATTTTTCGTAAGCAAATTGCAAGCAAAAATAGGCACCCCCCATTCTCAGACACCCATGTTCGCTAGGGATTTATTTTTTCCTGATCCGTGAGGCTATTGGTTCCTTCCATGGTGGCTTCCATGATGGTGCCTCTGGCAGGGATGGGACCCGAGCATGCGCAAACCCATGAGGATGGCCCAGGGCCTAAAAGAGCTCTTGGAACGGTTATATTCCCCAGTTTTTGTTCATAAATGGTTTCCTGTTTATTCAAACACATTGATATATAATTGGTTTCAGTGACTTCAATGTAATCCGCAGCAAACATGAGGATTCAACATGAACAGGTTGTACAGGGCTCTCACAGGGCTCATAGATTCTGATAGATGTTGAATCTTTGGGTTACGCCGGTGGGATTGACCCAAGAACTTGGTGGGATTGATGGGTGATTGGAAACTTGACATGTTTAATCCATTTGTTTGGTTTTTACATCAGTTTGCTTTCATGAAGCAATCTGAAACCAGGTACATATGGATACTTGGTGCCTCATTTTGAAACTTGGTGGCAGCCGAACCTGGTTGGTAAAGCGTATATTGAGCAGTTCTTATGTATGCATTTAGGGGTATATACAACATGCGAGTTCATATTTCGATACAAATCTATACACTGTTTGCATTTGTTCTGCATATGTACACGCGTTCACTTCATAGATACAGATAAGATAAGAAAAACTAACACGTGTATACACGTATATACACGTATATACACGTATATACACGTATATATATATATATACATATATACACATATATATATATATATGTATGGCATGGCATTTAGATATGACGTAAGATCCGACTAAATTAGACCAGATTGAAAGATAGAAAACTAGATGGATAGCTACCAGCCTGCTAAGGTATGCAAGGTATGTGGTAGGTGGCACCCGCTCCTGCGTATGGGTTTGGGGTGGGTGGGTCGGGTGAGTGGGGTGGGTGGGGTGATCTTAACGTTCCTGCACTGCGATGCTATGCTGTGCTGATGCTAGTTGGGTAGGTAGGTTGGCAGGAAGATCAATCGAAAGATACGTAGCCACTAGCTAGCGTAGGTAGGTAGGTAGGTAGGTAGGTAGGTAGATAGGCAGATAGATGGATAGATGGATAGCTAGATATACTAGATAGATAAGATCAGATAAGATAAGATTAAAGATACGATACAATAAGACTATAGAAGATAAGAAAAGAAACGATAAGAAAGATAAGAAAAGCAATAACAGAGAAGAGAATAGATAGACAGATAGAACGACAAGAATGCTGACGGAGAACGGTTGTGCAAAGTGATGTTTATCAATTGCCATTTTGAATGGATCAGATTCTACGGTTTTATACCCCAATAACGAGGATATGCCAGAACCTCCTATACCATGTTTGTTTCATGAACAACAATTTGACAGATTTTTTTTATATTCACCAAATGGCTGAAACATGAATTTGTTTGACCGTAGGATACCCCAAAATTTGATGGTTGATCATCAATTTCCCATTAAAAGATGGCCGTTAATGAGTTACTTTGTTATTTTACATGGGAGTTTCTCAGGGGCGGTGAGTCTCGGAGTGTTTGACCCAGGACTCCAGTTTTGGATCAAGCGGCAAAGTGGTGCGCTTTGATCTGGTCTCTTGGTGAGAGTTGCCAAGACCCAAAATGACATGGTACTGTGGATGGAAGAAATCCTGCACCACCTTGGATGGTTGAAACTGTAAATCAATATAAATCATGGGATGATAAACCACCTCTCAACTGGTGCCTTTTTTTTCCCTCTATCAACAGTACGTCTCAACATTTGAGGGGAAACCCTGCCTAAAGAATCCTAACAAATCCTAACAACATATTTATGTCCTCGCATTTCTGCATGTCAAACAGAGCCACTTTGGAGCTACCGGTTTTCGGACACCACTAGCTGCCGGGCATCAGCTAAGGCTACATTCAGCACCTTCGAAGTTCTAGACGTGACTGACAGTGGCATGTACATAGCCGCTGAGCGTGACAACCAACAGTGAGAGGGATATTAGGCACATCAAACTTGGGCAAAATTGTCGATCTGGCAAAACACAAGATAGTGGTCAATTCTGGAATGCACATCGTAATAGTTTAATAGGTTTGGCTGCTTCATCAAGCAACACTTTTGTAGAGTTTTAAAACAATTTCAGCCACAGACGAGAACGTTCTCTGTTTTTTTTGCAAAGGTTGATCCAGCCACTTTCCCAACGTGTTTCACTCAGGCCCAGATGAAGTATGCCAACGAACTTTTAAGAGGTATGGAATAATATGGAATAAGGAGTGGTCTCCAAAGGATCGAAGAGTAAATCACCATCAACAAAATATTATGAATTTTATGAATCACTTTTCGATGCCTTTTTTGTAACCCCTTATGGCATGGCACGCGTTCATCGTTTTCTTCGTCGGGCTTTGGTGCGAAACTTTCAGCATTCTGAGGATCGGCGCAAATTCATTGACGGCTTCACGGATTTTGAGCATGGCCACTTGCCAGCAGTATCCTGGAACCAAATGCTTCCAGCCTGAGTGGGTGATACATTCCCAATGAACCACTAACCAATATTAACCAATCCAAATATTAATAGTGTGGATGAACAAAGGGATCCAATAACGATTGGCAAACAATTAGTATCGCCAGCGATGTCACAACGCTGACGGTTTGGGCCTGCCTACCGGCCTTCATTGATGATGAAGCGTTACGAAGGGGATGAACTGCTGCTTGATGGTCAGAAACTGGGATATTGTATCGATGTTTGATAAATCATGGCGTCTCTATTAGTAAGCAACCCCAAGCTGGATAATAATAACTAATCTGTATCAACTGTGAGAACTTGCAAGACTGTACTTGTTTAATGAACTGAACATCGGACTTATGAACCAATAAGCTTCGGTGGTATCCCCAACAGCCGCAATGTTTTATTTTTACAAATATTTCTGAAGTGTGCTACGAAGCCAAGCGCTGGAAACACCTCAGCCTGCTCCAAAGCCTCCCAGACCTTCTCCGGAACCTTCTCCAGAACCCTGCTGAAGCTGACTTGGCCTTTCACCAATTCAAGGCTTCCTGGAACCTTCTCCGGAACCTCCTCCGCAACCCTGTTGAACCTGACCTGCCTCGCACCAAAGTCTCCCAGACCTTCTCCGGAACCTTCTCCGGAACCCTGTTGAACTTGACCTGCCTCTGCACAGCTGCACAAAGCCTCCCGGAACCTTCTCCGGAACCTTCTCCAGAACCCTGCTGAAGCTGACTTGGCCTTGCACCAAGGCTTCCTGGAACCTTCTCCGGAACCTCCTCCGCAACCCTGTTGAACCTGACCTGCCTCGCACCAAAGTCTCCCAGACCTTCTCCGGAACCTTCTCCGGAACCCTGTTGGACCTGACCTGGCTCTGCACCAAAGCTTCCCAGACCTTCTCCAGAACCTTCTCCGAAACCCTGCTGAACCTGACTTGGCTCTGCACCAAAGCCTCCCAGGCCTTCTCAAAAACCTTCTACAGAACCCGTTGAACCTGACTTGGATTTGGCCTGGAACCTTCTCCGGGAACCTTCTCCGGAACCCTGTTGAACCTGACCTGGCTCTGCACCAAAGCCTCCCAGCTTCTCCGGAACCTGCTCCGGAACCTTCTCCGGAACCCTGTTGAACCTGACCTGTCTCTGCACCAAAGACCTTCTACGGAACCTTCGGAACCTTCTCCGGAACCTCGTTGAACCTGACCCGGCGCCTGCACCAATGCACACCGGAGCTATTCTGGGCTGAAGACCCCATTAGCTTACGCTGTTGGGGAACAAAAATGAGTAGGGCCGCCTCTTTTGGAAACTTCACCAGTTAAGTGTTAGCCTGCCTAACATCAAATGACCAGACTCAATGGGATGCCAGGCTTCCTGGTGCCGATGGGCACGGATTCAAGGTACTAACCTTAGCTGAGGGTCGCTGCCTGATGGAACCGGAGGATTTCAGCAAACCAAAGATTGCAAGGCAACGAGGCACTACAAATTGGTGGATCTTTCTTAGGTGACATGAGTTTTGGCGTTGGATAATAAGATACTTGCTTTGGCTGGGTTTCATTACAGCTACCCAATGTAGTGAGGCCTTTCAATGTGTATGATATGTGTCGTAACCATCATGGAAATGAGCATGATAACACTCATCATCATCGTCATCGTCATCGTCATCGTCATCATCGTCATCATCATCATCATCATCATCATCATCACCATCACCATCACCATCACCATCACCATCACCATCATCACAATGGGTCAACAGGATTCCTGGCGACTGGAATTATATGCAAAGTGTGTCCAAGCATTGTCAGGCACTCACCACTGAAACATCTGATCCAGATTCACTTGGTTCAGGATCCACGGTTTAGGACAAAATCATCACTAAGACCCCTTCTGGAACTCCTTCGAACCCATGTGGCTGTGGCTAAAATTTACCACCCCAACCGTCCTGAAACTCAAGATCCCCAAACGCCCCAAACCCCAAAGCCTGAACAAAATGGGATAAGTGGGGATGAACCATTGGTTAATCATATCCCCAATGGTTAATCATATCCCTGGTCATAGAAATTCACAGAAGACAGTGGGTCCATGGATACCCTGATGTCTTGAGTTTCCAGGACCTTCGTGCGTTTCTCCTTGAAGGATTTCACGATAGCCCTGTGGCTGCAGAAACCGTGGTAGGTATGTGGTGCTTTGAAAAATGGTGATATAATGGAGATCCAATGGGGGTATGATGGATATTGTATTTATATATATATTATATACATATATATATATATTATATACATATATATATATATTATGATATAAGTATAAATTATATAACTAACAATGCGAAACTGGGTGTGTCTGAAAAGGGGGTGAATCTACTCCCCAAATGGCAATTTTTTCGGAGGAACATGATGATCAACGGACGGATAGAATCAGGTACCCAATTTTCAGATGCGCTCTGGTAAAATAACATGAATTATTTTGAGCCAAAAATGGAGATATCATTGGGATTTAACCAACCACTTTTTTTGCCATGGTCAAAACTGGGGTAAATTGCCCATATTGTGAGATCGTCACCAATTCTTTGAACTTTATGCACCCATTACATGGATTCGAAGTGCGGAATAGATTACCATAGCATGTTTTGGCCATGGCACATATGGATTATACCCTCGGGCAATTTGCTACATGCCTAGCTGGAAAATCCCGACTTAATGGGAAAATCAATGGCGGAACCATCGAGCTTAAAAGGTGGTTTCCAGCAAACCAGGTTAATTTGGAGGAGGTGAGTGTATCTATTGAAACCAATATGAGATGATGACCCCAACTGATTCCCCACCTGCCAGGTGAGGGTTGTTAGATTTTATGTCAGTTGCCTGGTCCTCCTCCTCCTCCTCTCCTCTCCTCCTCCTCTCGTTGTCCTCCTCCTCTCGTTGTCCTCCTCCTCTCGTTGTCCTCCTCGTCCTCCTGCTCAACTGCGACTCGCGATCCACAGTGTTCGCTGCCGGACCTCAACCACGACCATCCACGCCCAGTGTTCCCTGCCGGACCTCAACCACGGCCATCCATGCCCAGTGTTCCCTGCCGGACCTCAACCACGACCATCCACGCCCAGTGTTCCCTGCCGGACCTCAACCACGACCATCCACGCCCAGTGTTCCCTGCCGGACCTCAACCACGACCATGCACGCCCAGTGTTCCCTGCCGGACCTCAACCACGACCATCCACGCCCAGTGTTCCCTGCCGGACCTCAACCACGACCATCCACGTCCAGTGTTCCCTGCCGGACCTCAACCACGACCATCCACGCCCAGTGTTCCCTGCCGGACCTCAACCGCGAGTATCCACGCCAAAAGATATGCCACATAGAGTATCATAGAGTGCCAGAAGATATGCCAGATAGAATGTTAGAAGATATGCCAGATAGAATGCCAGAAGGTATGCCAGATAGAATGCCAGATAGAATGTCAGCTAGAATGCCAGAAGATATACCAGATAAAGTGCCAGAATGTTTGCCAGATAGAATGCCAGCAGATTTGCCAGATAATATGCCAGAAGATATGCTAGATAGAATGCCAGATGGAATGCCAGAAGATTTGCCAGATAATATGCCAGATCGAATGCCAGATGGAATGCCAGAAGATATGCCAGAGCATATGCCAGAAGATATGCCAGAAGATATGCCAGGACATCTGCCAGGAGATATGCCAGAACATCTGCCAGAAGATATGCCAGCTAGAATGCCAGAAGATATGCCAGATAGAATGCCAGATCGAATGCCAGAAAATATGTCAGATAGAATGCCAGAAGATTTGCCAGTAACAAAATGTATAAATGTCATGGTGGGGATCACACGAAGTAAAGTATTTTTTTTCATATTTTTGGGGTGGGCTGAAGCATTCAAGTAAAATCAAGTAAAGGTTGTTCTTTTCGTGTTGGACGCAGCATTCCCACTGCAAGGGACTTTCTAATAATGACAAATGATCAATTTTTAGCTCATGGCGGGCCACAGAGCTCAGATACAGATTCTTTATCAGCTGCGATCAGTGATGCAGAATACCAGGGAGAATCAGTCCATGGGCACGATACGTTTCGTGGGCAGATAAAGACTCCGACATGACCAAACTGACTGAGTTTGATGAGCTGCAGCAGTGAAAAACTTGGAGCCTGGAATCACCCATGGTATATCTTATTATACTGGAGTCTGATCATTCAGGATTCTGCAAGTTTCTGGCTGATTTTATGAAAACAAAATTACGTACTCTGCAGGATTCTAGAAAGTTTGGAATGTTTCAAACCCTTGACCAAACTGCACTGTTCAGTATAGATGAGCCACTTGTCGTCATAAGCACAGTATGCGCATTCATTGCTTCCCCAAAGACCCATATTTTCATGTCAAGATCGTGCTAGCTGCTAGATAGTGAATGATTTTGTACTTGCTGAATGCAATTCACTGTGTCCCAAAGTTCTCGTCCAGATGGTGCCCCAAGTCAAATCATCAGCGTGGCAATGGAAAATCTTCACAGATGATTCTCCCTTCAAGATGCAATTTATAGATATTATAGTGGATTTTTAATCGCCACGTTTGATGACCGGAGGGTCACTACAACATACTACAACTATTGATGGAACCAAAGTACCGAGGAATCGTCACACCATGTTACACTTGATAGAATGGGCCTGCAAAACAGAAGTGTTCCGCTGAAAGAAATACGTAGTTTTTCACTGTTTTCCTTTGAAAGACGTCCAGCCTTCCTTTCAAGATATCAATTTTTCCTCAAGTAGATTAGCATCCCTTTCAAAGGGGAATATTCCTGCATGCATAATATGCAGTATGTTTTTAATGTACAACGTTCCTGTATGTTCCTGTCAAAAAAGTGCATTTGCAAAAGATCGGTTTTCCGTCAAAAGAAGAGTATTTGCTTACAAACTACAATATTCCCGTAACATTACTGTCAAGAAGCAGTATTCCTGCAACATAGACATGACCTTTTGTAAAGGAGCCTTCCCTCACTGATTTCTTCAAAGGGCAAGTGCTCCTAGAAAGGGAACACTTCACTTCTTTGAAGAGAAACCTTTACTTCTTTGAAGGAATACAACTCCCTTTTCAATCACAAAGTTCACTCCGTTTTGAACGGAATGCAGAAAACGATGCGACACATTCTTCGAGGAATACCATATTCTTTCAAAAAGAGTGCTGCATACATCAGAGGCTTTACACTTCACTTCACCTCCTAATCTTGAATCCAAGGGGTCCAACAAGTTTTTCTGCAAATCTGGCATCTTGAACTTAGAAATTTTGCAATCAATGTGCAATTCATAGTATTTTCCCCAAGCTCTTAGATAAGGGTCACTCGATTTTACGTCAGTTGCCTCCGCTCAATACGGGTGAACATCGACGGAACCACGATATCGATGTCACCAGAAACGATGTTTAACAAAGGAAACCTCCAATAACCTTATGATAAATGGTTTTATCATATAATGTGACCATTAATTTGGATCATTTATAAACTTCATAAAATGAAAATACACCGAGATTTATCAGAAATTTGGATCTTTCATTTTCCCATCCAGTTTGGTTAAATAGCCGAGATGCTTGGGTGACTCGAAATATCCTCGATGGGTTGGTCCAACAAAAGTTGTACAGCAAAATTCATGGGAGGGATGATTTTTGAATCCATGTGGGGAATACCAAGTATGTATACGTATGTACTGTACTCCATCTTCAGACAAACCCTTGTGGTTCATTGAAATCCATGTTTGGGAAGACCATTATATATATATAATTATATACATATATATATGAAGCATCTCCACAAAAAGGTCCCCCTTGAATTTTGGACATCCAAAAAGTGCCGCTATCAGGCCGGGGTGAGCGCCGTAGATTTGAGCTCCGTGAGCAGTTCGGGCACCTTTAAAGCAGGTGTCTGGGCAGCGTTGGGAAAATTTTGGAAAGATGAGGTTACAGTTTCCTGAAATGGAAATCTTGAAACACGCTGAAGACTACCATTGCTGTCTGAGAATTTCCTCTTGAGCCATTCCCATGCGAATCCAATATTTGGAATAAGTAAGAAGGAGAATTGAAATCAACAACGGAATGGGCAATGGCGATGTGAACTTGGCTACTGGATAGACACTCGGGCTGGAAAACTGTTCATATTAGATTATTAGATGATCTTGTTAAACATTTTCCGGGGTGCCCGCCTTTTGGTTTCTCCCCAGTTTGTGTGTGTAATTCTGAATATACATATATATATGTATCATGTATGTCTATATACATGTAAATATTTGTATATCACACTATCACACACACACATATATATATAGTATACCTCACATTTGTCACGTGCGTCAATATATAATATACACATATGTGCATATATAAACATAAAATTATAGGATGTATATGTATAAATATATACATATATTTGTAAATATTTGTATATCAAATATTTATATAGTGTGACATCCGTCAATACATATGGATATATATATATATACATATATACATATATACATATGTACATATGTATATATGTATATATATATACATATGTATATATATGTATATATATATATACATATGTATATATATACACATACATATACATATACATATACATATACCTATACCTATACCTATATATATATATATGTACAATACATGTATGCAACCGGGATACATGCTTACCTGCAGAGAGAATTAATGTAGCAGGCCGTTGATCCGCATGTGCGAACAGGTAACTTTGACCATGCCCAAGGTTGCATGTCTTGGATCAATCAACTAGTATTCTCATTTAAGTATATATACTATCATTTGATTTAGTATCATTTGTTTTGATATTTCAATATTTCATATAGTTCAATTTCAAAAGTCTAATCTTCCACCATTTCTACATACAGAAAATCAGTAAATCACACCCCAGAAATCAGCTGTAGGGATCTTCGTTGCAAGGTGTAGTCCGTGTGCGTTATGGCTACCTTGCCCCTCGGCGTGAGCTGATGTACCCGGTGCGGAGGTGGCAAGGTGGCTATTTGAAGACAGGGAGACCCACAGAATTTCGGTCGGGATCTGCGGTGGGTCTACAACTGGATGGGGCCCTCCAGTTATTTTTGTTTGTTTATAATCCCATCTAAATATAGTTGTAAGTATCATACACTATTGTTATTGTAGTTATAAACCAACTTGGCTAACTATGTGGCCCCATCCTGTAACTGGATCTTGAATTTTCGGGACCATGCCAGATGCCAGAGCATGCCAGGCTATGGGCCGGATCCGTATGGGTAAAGGTGTACCTCAAATCTGCAGAACTTGAGGGGAACCCAGTCGTTTAACCTCCGTATTTGATGAAATTCTATCCATAATCTTAATTTAATAGATTATCATAGATATGGATAGATTATGGATATTAATGATGTTAATATCAATTGGGACATCATTTAATATCTCACTGTCCCAGATCTCAATCAGTTACAGCCAGTTACATGCGTCTGAGTTCAACGACGATGGCAGCGTGATCAAAGTGCACCTCAAGACTTTGAATATCGAGAGGTGCCCCGTAGTTTTCCGATCTGAAAGGGTCGAAGATCGGAGGGAGACTTTGAAAAACTTTGATTTACGGCTGGGTGAATACATGATGCTATCTAAGAAATACATAGAACTACTCAGAGTATTATAATACCGTATAATGTAATATAACCATATAGGTATACAATGTTATGGATTCTTCCTTTTACAGCCAGAATTGTTAGTAATCCAATGTTTCATAAACATGATGCCGTTTCAGGTTAGAATTGACCTCATTGGCCGACAAATGATTCGTATCCTCGGGTGGAAAATCAAAGATGGTGTGCTAGAAAATCACAGATTTAGTTTGATGTTTTTTTTTTCCCCAGCTAGAAACCTTTATTTGTAGGATTTTGCAGGGAAATTCCCATTGCTATGTTTGATTACGGAAAGTATCCAGATGGAGAACAAAATAGGCCGAGACACCATCGTTGACCATGGAGCATCTGACATCTTTCACGTCTGCGACAGGTTGGTTGTGACAACTGCCTCTGTGTGGTGGGGCGGTATGGATTCCACTGGAACCTTGTGGGCTTTGACCGACGACAACGGTCACTTGGGAACACGCTGCTGGGGAAATCATCTGATGAAATCGGGATCCGGTTTGATGTACCCTCTGGTTATTTAACATAGCCATGGAAAATCACCATTTTCAATAGGTAAATCATCTATAAATGGGCCGTTTTCCATGGCCATGTTAAATAACCATGGTATTTCCCGTAGGTTCTATGTTGAATTACGACAGGGTGCAGATGCCATGCAGATCCCTTCTTGGTTTCAGCGGTGTCAAAAATGATTCTCGGAAGCGCTTCAGTTTGGCCCGTCAATCACGAAGTTTGCAATCTCATTCGAAAGCTTCTTGGCCTCCAAGCAGAGGTGGACCATTTCAATGGGTCAGCCCAGAAAGAAAGTTCTCCATTTTGCCGCTCAACTTCTTTCTTTCTGGTAAGGTCAGCAAGACTTCTATTCGCTCTGCCAGGACCCGTTGACATTCCAATCCCAAACAACTGCAGCGAAGGTACAGAGCTATTGTAGGTACCCACTCTCTGTGATGGACAATCTTTGCATAAAGACATACGTGACATAAGTGACATCAGTGTCTGCTGATGGCTCCGGAAATGGAGGACTTTCGGAACATTTTGCTTTCGGCCAAGAATTTTTGCCCCATGGTCCATGTATGGCGTTATACCCATTCAATCCATCGAGATTGATCATGATTTTTTCATGACTGATTCCGTTTGGATTCCGGGTGACCATAAACCAGATAACCATCATTAATCAAGTTAGTTATGTATAATATCTATTAATATCTGTATATTCACAGAATATTCTTATGATATCCCCTATATTTTTTGCTTCAGTGAAATCTCGCGGTCCAAGCTTCCTACGATCTGGTGCCAACTCTGCCAGGATACAGTGCAACTTGGCAACCATTTTCATTGGAAAACACTTGTGATAAACTACCAAACAAAAATAAACGTTTGATTTTAGATTATCCTTACTTTTGGACAAAACCACATCAACAAAAGCTTCATGTTGGATTCTTGTATCACTTGTGATGAAATCTCATGGAGTTTGACTTTTGAAGCACCCAAATACCGCCGCATTCTTTCTCTTTGAAATTGAATCAAACCAGACAACAAGAACAATCTGCATTCATGCGGGTTGGAGACACTAGTTCCACTGCTTTCCTCACCCTTATTGATAACATCTCGCTAGGTGCAAACGGTTCTTGCGTATAGAGGGTACAACATGGTACAACCCTCAACTCAAAAGCTGAACGGATCCGTATGATTCGGATATCAAGAGCAGAATGCCGTTTGGTATCACTGAGGCCGTTCGTGAATATTCAGATCAACTGCAGCGCAACCGCGGTGGGCAGGGTTGGGACTGGGACACAACTGCCACAATCAGCCACAATCAGCTGTATGTCATGGCATCCCCTTGATATACCATGACAGTGAGATATCTCCAGCACTACCATCGGGACATCATTTTGCTGGGTAGTTTCTCGCGAACACCGCCATACAATCCCCGCCGTGGTAATATCCCAAGGATATTTGTTGAAGCTCATAACCAAAACCTTAAAACCACCAAGATAACTGGCTTAGTATATGTTCAGATCCAATTTGGTAAATTTGGTTGCACTCCCCAATAACCACTGAGAAGTCACTGAATTTTGGTACCGTTGGTCACCGTAGTCCCAGGAGAAACTCACGGCACCCACTGGCAACATCGACTGGATGATGCAGTACATTTGGGTCGTGCCCCGGAAAATTCCTGGCCAGGAAAATGGGGACACCAAAAGCGATGATGTCTCCATTTCACTCATCAAATTGGGTAAAATATCTTACAGGTTTAAAAACCAAGGCAGGTTTGGAAACAGAGTCGCTATCACAAAAAAGCTGCGAAAGGAATCATGCGACAAAGTCGAAGGCCTCTAGTGCTCCGAATCATGACTCCAGCTATAGTGGTTTTCCAAAAAACATGCGAAATCCTGGATATTGTTTTTGAGATTGGTTGATTTGTCACTGAAGTGTTGGGCAACCTAGGCCTATCTGCTCGTGATTGTTCATTCATTTGCACTTGACACCCTGGATGGTTTGGCCTTGTTTGACCCCTGCAAGCCCATTTGTATGAATCATAGACACCTTATATCGACGTCACCATAGATGGTGGTTCGTAGGGGAAACCACCACAAAGCAGCTCTTGCATTTCAGGTTGGTGGACAACTGTCCACTGTCCACTTCGTTTGACTGGTGGTTTCAAGCATCTTCTCTTCCTCTTCAATGAAGAATGGGATGATGACCCCCAACGACCCATATTTTTTTGGGTGCTGTCCACCAACAAGTATCCTAGGGCACGTGTTAGAATTCGGAACCCCAAACTCCTTGTTTTCATGTTTTCATGTCGTATTTCCCCATGAACTTTACCATAAACTGGGGGCCTATCCCCCACGATTTGCCGTTGCGATGTCCGCATGCCGAGACCCTGACGGACAATATCTATGCCTACCAGTTTCCGACGTCTAGCCACTCGACAAAACTGGGCAGTGAGGTTTTGGGGGGATGGCAAAAATGGGGGTTGAAGCACAACTTGGGTCGTGAAGCCAGGGTATCAATGGACCCGCAGAATTTTTGGTTTCTGTACTTTGGACTTTCTGCTAGGCCTGATTTCGATTCCGTAGATGTACCCTACAGCAGAAATTCCTAACCTCATGTGGTGAGTTGTCCGATTTTCCATGTAGAACTCCCAATTCAATTTAACGAAATCCGACATGAACCTATATCAATACTATATCATCTACCCTTTGGTTATTTAACATAGCCATGGTATAGATGGCCCATAGAAATAGATGGTTTACCTATTAAAAATGGTGGATCTTTCCATGGCAAACTGTTAGTCATAA